AACTATGGGAAATGTTTCCAATAATACACACTGAGATGTGTATGTGGCCTGGGGTGCAGCAAATGTGAATTTGATATGAAGTGTTGTTTTCATGATATTAGACGCCCCTTCAACTCCTTTACAGTTTTTTCTTTTCTTTACCAAAAACAGTGGCGGCAATATTAGGGCAAACCGGTGTGTTAACACTTCTTCTATTAGTGATAAAATGATATTACAATTGACACTTTAATGTTATTAATTTTTTTTTTTATCATGAAAAAGAAAAAAAAAAGTCTTAAATCAAAATACTTGTACAAAATTAAAATCATCTATTTGAAAATAAAATTATTTTTTCAAAACAAAAAGATATATTCTTTAATTTCTAGTTTCAAAAACATGTTTTCATTCAATTATTTAATATTATATTATATGTAAATCATATAATTTCTACACAATAACATTTGTACAAAATCAACTTGTTTTTTAATCTTTGAAAACAAAAAAAGATGACAGATTTCAAACGCAATAATGTTGTATAAAGCCCCCCCACAAATATTCGTTGCTGCACCTTTTTTTTGAGCTCCTCTCTTATTAACAGTTGTTGTAATTTGGGCCCCCACAAATTGACAAACCCTTCGTCGGGATTTTCGAAATACTTACCTAGCTGCTGGTTTTAGGTGGCAGGGAGCTATGATCTGTGGGCCGGTGTATCTAATTTGGGCCCCCTTTACCCTATATATTGTATTCTATTACTAGTTCAGTTGACTTTGTTGGAAATGCATCCCCCAAGTTGGGGATTCGAGATTTGTAGCTCAATTAATTGTGATCCCGTAATCTATTCTGTGGATGTCAATAGGGGAGCTTCGTAGCTCAATTTTTCATGCTTTGTCATTCCAAATTTAAAAAGAACAGAAGACGAAGGACAAAGTGAACAACTTTGCAAGGAAGCTCGACCCATTGGCGATGATGGCCGATCGATTCTGTGGTAGAAGATACAGTCTACCACCTACCCCTCTTTGTTCAAAACTAGGCCTTCTGACCCCTATTCCAATTCCACTCTAAGCGCAAAACAAAGTACATCCACTATTGAAGTGGTAGAATTAAATTATTATTTATTGTATTCCCTTTCAATAGATAAAATTCTTAAATATAAGTCACTGTTTTTAAAACCGGACGGTCGGATCGGAAAAATGGGGAATCGGTTCCGTTTTCCTCAAAAACTGTTTTTTTTTTTCTTAAAATTGTTGATTTTGGTCAGCAAACTGCTGAATCGGCCGATAATCGTTCGAACTGTTTTGACTATTTTTTAATTTTTTATTTTTTTTGTCAGAATGTATCGACCATTTGGGTCGAACGGTCAGACCATTCACATCGGTAACTGGACCCCTGAAGGTTTCAGTCACCGGTTCGTTTTTAAAAACCATGATATAAGTATTTAACACGAGGTTCAAAATATTGACAGATATAGGGCCGTATTAGCTTTCGGGGGTTTGACTAGTTCAGAGGGTGGGCGAACCCCTTAAACTGACCCCTCCAAACCAAATTTGAAAAAAGAAAAACTAAAAAAAAATTAATACTAATACACCTCTACTAAYATATCAAATGTATCGATACTTTGAACCTTGATTTAACAGTAATCAACCCAACTCTAATTTTAGCCATTAAAGAACTCACAACCGTCATAATAACTTAACCCATTAAATCACCAATTAATAAGTTATTCAGTTCAACCACTTCAATTATTATTTAAATTTTCGTGCTATGGGGTAGTAGGAACCATAGGTGAATAAACAAACTTTTGATGCTTTTCTATAATTGAGATATGGAACATTGAAAAGTAAGTCACTTTTATCAATTGTCACATTTTAATTGTAGAAACGTGATTTTGTTTTTTTAATATCAAAAGGCAGAATATTTCAAAGGGTGAATTACCTATATACCTCCCTTGAGTTTTTGGTCAAATATTGAGACCACCCGTCGGATTTTGTGATGCTACACATTAACCACATTTTACATCAGGATTTCGTTTGGTTTTAATATTTCCAATTAATGTTTCATGCAAGAAAACATCTCTTTTTCTCTCTCTCTTGAAACTCCGTTATGATCAGGTTCAAATTAAAATGTTCCACCGTTTCCACCCCCTACATTAACTTTTTGYTGGTTTTAAACTATTTATGAAATTTAATTTTATCTTGGTGCACCCCATAAATGTAAAATACATTTTGTAAAACGTAAATCAATAAAAAGTTAGTAAACATTAATATACATTAAAGACAAAATTGACATTATTATTATTATTATTGATGATGCGTAATCCGGCCGGTCTTAGTTGTCAATGACCTTGCCTCTGAACCGAGTAGCAGAGAACCTGAAACGGAGGAGATGAGGAAGCTCCGGGGGGAACCCGGTGTAAAGGCTCCGAAGCTTAA